AGAAGAGAGTAGATTACTATTGTCACTAGAGAGAAGGATATCATTGTGTATTTTAAGTAAAGAAGTTTCAGTACTGTGAGCAGGTCTGAAACCAGATTGAGATACAGGTAGCAAAGAGTTAAAGTCTAAATAGGATGAGAGTTGATTAAAAACAACTTTTTCTATTATTTTAGAGATGAAAGTAATATTAGTTACAGGTCTATAATTAGATAAAGAGGTAGGATCTAGGGATGTGTTTTTAAGAATAGGAATAACAATAGAATTCTTATAAGAAGTAGGAAATTTAGAGGTGGAAAGAGATAAATTAACTAATTTGAGAATGATTGGATAAAATATTGAAGAGAATTCTTTAAGTAAATTAGAAGGAAGTAGATCTAGAGAACAGGTTGTAAACGACATAGAATTAATAATTTTAGTTAGTTCTAAAAGATTTATTGGAGTAAATACAGAGAAAGATTCAGTAGTAAGTTTAGTAAAGTTATGAGAAGGAAAATTAGAATTAGATGTTCTTAAGGAAGTAATTTTATTTACAAAAAAGTCATGAAACTGTTGAGCAGAGAAAGATGAGTGAGAAGATTTTTTATGTAGAAGTTTAGATAGAACAGACCACCTATTTTTAGATGTTGAAGCAGATGTTATAGAATTTCTAAGAAAAGTTTTACATTTTATTTATTTTTTTTAAATTCAATAACATTTTAAAAATAATTACTCAAAAAACAGTTTTCCTTTTTTTAGTATTTCGGCTGTTTACATTATACTGTCGCTAACCAACGAACATGCAGGCTGTATTTAGTTTATTAGTTGCACCGTGGGTGGAGCTTATGAGTCGCTTTAAACTGTTGACTATAAATAAATATTTCTGGGAAAACCACTTTGCCGTCTCCGAGATTACCGACGTCGTCGTTCACAACCTCATTAACTAAAAATTTAAAAAACTTTAAATTTTTTAACTTCCTACTTTGGCGGCGAACGTAAATGGATATTAAGCATTCGTTGTTTATACAATTTTGTTAAATATCCTTGCGTGTATATGCGTTTTATACACGGAACTATATAGTTCAGTGGTATTATACTTGTATCATTTTACTTAAACGATATTCAACAATATTGAATTTAAATATACGTGCATGTATTATGCTTTTGTACCTTTATATAGTGACCCTATGACACACTGATTATATATGTGCGAAAAGAAGACGTGTACAAATAATTGCGACTGATGGCCCGGAACAGCTGATAAATTATTAAATTTAGCCAGCTTTAGCCCAAATCTTTTACTAAAATTTGTAAAAACTCCATGGTTATAATTGACGCTAGAAAAATTTAGCAACCTGTTGAGGGTATTTTAGATTTTATGATTTGTTTTTTGTTTTACTAAATAGCTCTTATCCATAGAAATGATTAGCAAAACGTATGAAATGTAATCACTGCATTTGTAAGAATATTACTACAAATACGATACGCACTTGTAAAGCTGTAGAGATTCATGTATGTGAGGTCATCACTATCTTAACCATATGTGTTCATCAGCATTTTAGTTATCATCATTTACGTGTGGTCATCATTTTAATCATCATCACGTATGTGTGTGTGGTGTAGTTGTCTGTTAATGAGTAGCTGATTAACACGCGTTGTACTGCAAATAGCCACAACCTCGATGATAAGCTTATTCACAACGGTTTAAATAACGTCAAACTTTTTATATAATTAATTTTTTTGTGACGGTTGGAGTGCAGCATGCAACCGGCATCCATCATGTTTTGGATCAAGCTACCGTCAGAATATATAATCTACAAGTTAATTTTCTCTAGGTATGCCTCTGTACAATCACTCTCTTTCTCGTTCCTTAAAATATTGTCAAGTTTTCAAACAACCTATTCTTAAAGTATTCATCTTAACACGTAGTATTTTAACAATGATTTTCTTCACCCCAACAGAAGCGTGGCCAGGGAGGATTTCGGACTAAAGCCGGCACAACGAATATTTTCGTTAGAGACACTCTGGACACACCACAAATACATCTCATCCAGTCGTAACAATTTTATCATGGATATTTTGACGCAACAAAAAAATCTGCATCCACAGATTTATTAGTATCGCCTTCTTAAGATACCATGGACATCTATGTAATATACCTATATATATTTATATATATAGTTTACTATATATATATATATGTTTTACTATATAGAAGTCTATGTTAAGATACGTACACGCACGGGAGAATATGCGTGCCAGAGGAAAGATGTCTATAAATAAATGAAATACTAAAAATCGATTCGACACTGATTGCGTAATGATAAAATGAGCATGAAAAAACTCAGCAGTTATTCAACGTCAATAATGATTCATTGAGAAAACGTTAATTGGGCATAGTAAAACATTTACGATTTTTAATATAAAGACAAAAATTAAATAATTAATGTTAGACGTTTATGATTTTTTATTCTTGGAGAGCTTTATTCGTCGTTTCTTCTCGGATTTTGGTAGTTTAGTTGTTCGCTTCGTTTTTTGCATTTCTTTGATTACCTTTTTTCTTTCCTAATAATTGATTTAAAAATTTTTTTTTCTAAATCATTTTTTAATTTTTATTTTTCAATTATAATATTTTGACATTAACTTAATTAAAATTTGAAAACAGTAAATCTAACCTTTTTGCTTTCCAGAGATTCATTTTTTGGTCTCAAATAAAGTTTTTGGTCAGTGGTTTCCTTCTTTTTTTCTTTACTTTTGTCATTTTTTTCATTTTCATTGGTGTCATCCTCATCTGAATCATCACCGTCGTTGTCATCATCATCAGAGTCGTCACTGGCGCGCTCATTACTGTCACTACTACTTCTTGCATGGTTTTCAGATTTCAACTCGATAAACTAGAAATGAGTAAAATACACTGATTAGAAATATATTCAGGGAAAAAACATTATAAAATACAAATTACAAAATCTAATCAGCTGCTAGGTAAGTCTCATTGAAATAAGTTACTACTGAGATCTTATAAAAGATATAAAAATCAAAAAACCAACCACTTGTCCGGCGTGTCTCCTCAAATCTTTAACGCACATATCAGCGTCCTGATAAGGTATTTCCGTTTGATCTGCCATCTGGAGAAATAAAGAATAATTTAGAACAACCGTACATCGCCAATAAATGAAAACACAAGCACTAACCAGATCATCGTCGTCTTCATCATGGCGATCGCAAGCCTCCTGAATTGCCTCGTCTATATACCTATCCTCGTCTGTAATCTCAGTACCGACAACGAAGTTGCGCAGTTTCCTGCAGGACATTGTAACGACGCCTTGCTTCCTGAAATAGTTCGTGACGTTTTTGACATCCATGTTTAAAAACTTCAAAGCATTCTCGTTGTCCATCTCAACGGACTGAGAGACATCGATGACGTAGAGGCTGTTCTGGAAGACTCTGAAGAAGTGCAACATTTCTTGTTGTAAATAATCTTCATCACAATTATTTAGATTCATTATATAAAATATTATTATAAAAAGAGAATTTAATTTTAATCAAGCTCAAATGATAAATAATTTATTTAATAAGGTTATATTATGTTAACATATTCAACAGAAACATTTGAAAAAGATCTCATTGCCTTTAAAATTGCGATCAACAAGATGAAACCACAAAAATATAAACTAAAAGTTAGAAACAAACATACAGAAGATTAAATTCACTGAGGTCAGCATGAACTAATTTGCAGACTTGGAACATCTTTCTCATAAGGAGCACACAATCCCTGTACATCTTCTCATACTCATCGTGTGTCAGCTCTTCATCTTTCAATCGGTTCGCTGGCCTAATTGAATCAAAATAAAATAAATAACTACAAAACGATCAAACATTGACTGACTTAATAAAACAAAACTTTTTATAAAATCTATGCAGAATTACAACAACAAACAACAACAACAAACAACAACAACAAAGTTATTTCAGAAAAGTACCAGCCTTCCATCTTCGCCAAGGAATTCCATGACAAGAACATTTCCATGATACAGGATTGGTTCAGGACATTTTATTCCTGCCTTGTAGATTCTGTGAGATTTAATTCAATGCAATAAATATGGTAGAGGAAAAACTATGATGTTTTTAAGAAAGAAGATTGTGCTAATCAAATTCATAAAAAGAAACCTCTGCAAGTTCCTGAACTCCTTCTCGGTCCATTTGGGGACAAGTTTCCTGATGTTGCTGGTGCATGTGTTGTTTTGGAACCTTCAATCACAAATGAAAGCAAAATATTAGATAAAATTAAGTAGAATATTCAAGCATTCAACAGTTCACTGGATATACCTAAATTCTCCTTCCATGTACTGGGTCCTATTTCTGAACTCTGAAGCAACTGTTTTGAAGATCTATAAAGCATAATATGACAAAAATGTACGACGTATATGATCAATACAATCAACAAACATGAAAGGAAATAATGTAATAGGTGACACTGATGGTGAAGCAGAACATATGAGCCAACCTTAATAGCCAGTGAACCCCCTTCATGTTTAGCAGAAATGGCATGATACACATTTGCTTCCTTGCCTGTGCTCACACATCCGTCAAACTTTGTGAAGACTTTGTGGAACATTTTGTAGAGGATCATCTTTGTTCGAACATCGAGGACCTTTTCGTGTGTGGCCTGGTCGGACTTGTCTCGAGATTTTTTACTGAATAAATTAGAAATATATTTTTATTTTCATTCTTAGTTGGAATATCTTTATTATAAATTTAAGTATATTTCAAAATTAATAATAAAAGAATATCAATTTCGTGAAAGAAAAATCATGAAGTTAAAAAATAAAAAAATATATACACATATAACAAAAAATTCGTATAAATCAGTCTCATAAAATGACAGCTAACCTATTACGGAGAGTATTCATTACGAAAATGAAAACAAAAAGAAAATATAAAATGTTGAAACTCACGAATAGTCTTCAGTTTTCCTGAATGATTTTCCAGCCTCTGGATTGTAAGGACCTTGAAAGGTGAAAAACCAACCAGCATATTAAAATCACAAAAGCAACAGCAGATACTTCAATCAAAAAAATTGGTAAATTAGTAATTTGGTAGTACTTACCAAAATAGAAAATGTTATCATACTGCTTGATGAGTGATTGCCTTTTGTCTTTTGTTGAATTTTGAGGGTTGGTGCCTGAAGAAATCTGTTGAAACAATAATTTAAAACTTCTAGAAATCATCAACAATAGCCATGATTTACTTATGTTGCTCTGCTATATGTGAAATTAATATTAGACTAAAAAAACAAATTTGAAAAAAAAGTTGAAAAAAAAAGAATTTACAAAAATATTCAAGTAAACAATAAATTACTCAGATAAATTTTGAAAAATAATAAAACAATGATATTACCTTTCCAGTGATCTGGTGGTACTGCTTTGTCACAGCTGTTTAAAATATTCAATTAAAATCATGTTTTATTTTCAAATAGATCATAAAAATAAATAAAAACTAAATATGAAAATTTTACAGAATTTTACTAATAAAAACTAAATCCAGTAGTAAAATTTCAATTTGTAAATTATATTTCAATTAAAAAAGTTATTTTTCCTTAAATTTTAATATTAAGAATACAGGTAACTATTACTGCTTAATTTACAGTATTTACACTAAACTTAATAATAAAACAATATATTAATGAACAAATAGTAATTATTCTTATCATTAAGCATCAATTTTCAAACAACATTGTAAATTAACTCTTAAAACTAACAGGAAGCCTGTTGTTTCCATTCAACATCTTGCAATGTAAACTCTCTCATGTCACCAGACATCCCATTGTAGTCATCATCATCATAACTATTATCTTCATCATCTTCATCCTCATCTTCAAGAAAATCATCATATTCATTTTTATCCAAGCCAAATATGACATCTTGTCCATCATCTACCTTGTCAGGCAAAGAAACTTTAGATATACTGGCATTTTCAACTAACGAACTGTTTGCAGATTAAAAAAACACAAATTTGATTATATTTTATGAAGAAAAATTCATGCATTATTACTGAATAAAAAATGAATTACCTAATAATAATTAGATCCTACTAATTTAATTGAAAAATTAACTTATCTGGTCAGCAAATATTTGTTTAAAAAACATAATTTATAATATGATCATAATTCAGTATAATTATAAATTTTAATAAAATTTTAATTAATTATTAAATAATTATTATTTCACTATTTCATTTTCAAAAATAAATAGCTTAAAACTGAACGTTCGTTAACGAACGCTCGCTAGCTTCTCTCAAGTAAAAATAAAACTACTTTTTTAAGTTTTTAGTTACTATTAAGTAACTTATAAAAAAATTAAACAAGCACCTGTTGAGTTTAGAAATTATTACGCCGGCATCTTCAAACTGTTCTTCGCGAATTTTAAATTTATCCATTTTAACTTTATTCACTAACTGACAAATTTTAAAAATCGGATAAACGAAATAAGCAAATCGTGAACCACGCAAACGATGAAACTTTAAAACTTTTATTTTGATTAAAAGTGGTATGCATTACAATTATATATATAGTAGGGTAGAGCAATGGTATTGCACAACATAGATGTAACATTGTAAAAAAAATACTCAGCTGGTCTCACCATAGATATATACAATGGGTATCACATAACTAGAATATCTGGACTATGATTATTGTCTTAATATAATTATAAATAAATAGTCGCTAAATCAAATCGAACACTAAAAAAATTAAAATTTTTTTACAGTAAAAATTAAGCTACAAAATTGACATACATTTTATTACACTTCACGCTGGGAACTAAAATTAGGAGTTGAACTATAGAAGTCGATCATGTCTGCCCCCTGCTACTAGGGAGATTTGAGTCAAGATTTTATTTTTGCCTCATGCGAGTCGTCTACATCTTTAATGAACATTAAAAATTTATTATTAAAAATTTATAAAAAAATTTATGACGCGAATTACAACGAACATGCTATGACGCAGCATATCGGACAATTGTCGGGTGGAAATCTAATAATGATACAGCATCGCACTGGAGGTAAATATAAATACACGCATGCTCATTTCCGGATAAGGAATGTGATCCGGTCCCTAGAGAACTTCAGCAAATATATGCTCATATATGACTAATGGCAGGCAAGCTACTATTAAACCAAAATTACGACCCAGCCCGCAACTATAAATTAGTTATAAATTTTTATGATGAAGCTTTTAGTGAGTATACACGTATATAAGAAAGGATTAAGTAATTTTTCGTAAACTCATTTATTTGTAATGACGAGAATCTCATCAACTTCAACATAATTTAATACATTAAAACAGACAGAAATCATAACAACGAAAAAACAAAAGAGAAACAATATTTAACAAAAAACAAAAGCATTTGAAATGAAATAATTTTAAAAAGTAAATCAGTAGTAACCACCGCCGCCACCACCTCTACCACCTCTTCCTCCTCTGCCACCTCTTCTGCCTCCGTCTCGACCACCAGAATGTCGATCGTCGTGTTGATAATATTGGTTTTGATTGCCACCATAACCACCTCCACCATAGCCACCCCCACCTTGGTAACCACCGCCACTACCTTGGTAACCACCGCCACTCTGGTAATTACCGCCACCACCACCTTGGTAACCGCCACCTCCTCCACCACCAAAAAATGCATTTGCAGTTGGATTGCTGCCTGCATATGTATCATACTGGTTGTAATTGTTGTTATGAGACCACTGACCACCACCGCCACGTCCACCTCCACCGCCTCTGTTGTCGTTCCATCCACTTTTCCCCCTGTCGCCACCACCACCACCACGACCTCTGCCTGAAAAAATTATTTAAAAAATTATTCTTTTCTTCACAGATAAGTTATGTGAAAAATAATGAGTTCATCAAAAATTGAAATAAGAACAATAACATACCTCCACCACCACCACCACCACCACCACCACCACCACCACCCCCAAAACATTGTTGTCCCTGTTGCCTCTTTTGAATGCCGGCATTCCGGC